GGGACAACAGTGAGCTGCACATGCGCTGAGCTGGGAGCGAACTCACTGAGCTCAGTTCATAGCACTGGTTTCACAGGGGGAAATAATGCCAGTTTAGGCATAGTACAGGTCAAAATAGGTCTGTGTGGGCCCGGTGCAGTGGCCTATAGGCTAAAGTCCTTGCCTTGCATGTGTCAGGATCCCATATAGGCACAGGTTCTAATCCTGGCAGCCCTGTTTCCTAACCAGCTCCCTGCTTGTGTCCTGGGAAAGCAATCAAGGACGGCCCAAAGCCTTGGGATACTTCACCTGTTTGGGGGACCTGGAAGAGACTCCTGGCCTTGGTTGGCCTCAGCTCCAGCCGTTCTGGCCACTTGTAGAGTGATTCATTGTTCCTAAGATCTTCCTCTCTGTCCCTCCTCCTCTTTGTATATCTGCCTTTACAATAAAAATAAATCAATCTTAAAAAAAAAAAAGCCAAAGTGTTCATAAGCACCAAGAAGGACAGGGTTTGCAAAGCTTGTGGACAGCTGGCCTGCTGCAGGGATGAACTGGAACGCTCCTGTGGGTTGACTCAGTGGTGCCCAAGGTCAGGGTCCTTCCAGATCTCTGCATTTGGCTTCTTATTTGCATTCCTTAGAACTGCCTTTATAATAAACAGTAACTGCCCTAGGAAACCCACAGGGGAGTTTGCAGCTGCTGGCTCAGTCGCTCAGAAGCACAAGCAAAACTTGGAGCCTGTGGTGGCTTCTGAAGTGGGGGGAGGGAGTCCTTGGGGACTGAACCCTCAACTCCACCTGTCAGGCAGTGTTAGAACTGCCCTAGATGGGTGAGGCAGGTTAAGCCACTGCCTGTGACACTAGCATTGTGATCCAGCTGCCTGCTAATATACCTGGGAAAGAAGCAAAACGCGGCCTAAGAGCTTGGGCCACCGATACCCACCCAGGAAATCTGATGGGGCACCCAGCTCCTGGTTTTGGACTGACCCAACTCTGGCTGTTGTGGCCATGTAGGGAGTAAACTGGTGGATGGAAGATCTCTGTCCCCTCCCTCTGCCTTTCAAATAAATACACGAATCTCTTTTTGAAAGATTTATTTAATCTTTATTGGAAGACACAGAGAGAAAGATTGTCCATCTGCCAATTTATCCCCAAATGGCTGCAACAGCCAGAGATGAGCCAATCTGAAGCCAGAGGCCTGGAGCTACTTGCAAGTCTCCCAAGCGTGTGCAGGGTTGGGCCATCCTCTACTGCTTCCCAGGCCGTAAGCAGGGAGCTAGATGGGAAGTGGAACAGCTGAGACATTAACTGGTGCCCATATGGTATCTTGGCGCATGCAAGGTGAGGATTTAACCAGTGAGCCATTGTGCCAGAGTCAATATAATATTTTTAAAAACCCAAAACTGGGCCTGGCGTGGTAGTCTAGTGGTCAAAGTCCTCACTTTGCATGCTGGGATCCCATATGGGCACCGGTTCTTATCCCAGAGGCCCCACTTCCCCTCTAACTCCCTGCTTGTAGCCTGGAAAAGCAGTTGAGGACAGTCCAAAGCTCTGAGGCTCTGCACCCACATGAGAGACCCGGAGGAGGCTCCTGGCTTCTGGCTTTGGATCAGCTCAGCTCCGGCCAGTACAGTCACTTTGGGAGTGAATCATTGGCCGGAAGATAAATCTTAAACAACAAAACAAAAAACAAAACTGACCTGGAGCAGAGCTGACTGCCTGCTAGCTAGGAGGAGATATCTATGTAGATTATCCAGTTTGCTTTTCCCATCGTGATCTTTTCATATTTATTTATTTATTTGAAAGGCAGAGAGGGAGAGAAAGAGAAGAGACAGAAGAGATTTTCCATCCACTGGTTCACTCCCCAAATAGCTGCAGCAACTGGGACTGGGCCAGGCTGAAGGCAGATGCTGCGTCCAGGCATCCCACATGGGCAGCAGCTGGACCATCCTCTGCTGCTTTCCTAGGCGCCTTAACAGGGCACTGGATCAGAACTGGAGCAGCTGGGGCTTGGGCCTGTTCCCCAATGGGATGCCTATGCTACAAGCTGTGGTCTAACCCATCAAGCCAAAACACTAATGAATACGGAAATGAATTCTGGGCTTCTCCCACTACTTCCCTTCTGGGATATTACTGGGTGCAGGATTTTCTGGCTGTGGAACTGAGACCATCCAGGCCTGCTGAGGTCTTGGCCACACCTTCATGCGGCACCAGCATTGCCCACCCATTTTCTAACTAATTAAGGAGACCACCAATGGGGAACATCTTACCTGTAGGTTCCCCGCCCAACAAGGAGCAGTCAGGGAATGCTTAAAATCCCAAGACTCTTCCTCAAACCTTTGGTGTCTCTCCCTCCTCTTTCGAGAGGCACCCCACTTCCTGGCTTCCTTTCCGGATGTGCTACCCCATCCCTCCCTTCCCTGCTCACCTGGTCCCTTCGCAAATAAACTTCTGTCTGCAACAGATTCCTGGCTTTTTATTTCTACACTAAGCTGAGGAAAGAACTCACTGGGCATTTCTGGTAACAGAGCCTCTTCCAGAATTTGATAAGAATTGCTAGATAAGAGATCTCAGGGTGGGCTTCCCCCACCACTCTCCCCTCTGGTAAGTGGACTTGACTCCTCATTTTCCAAGTGCTGCATCCAATGTGGGTGCTGGTTTGTGTCCTGGCTGCTTCACCTCCAGCCCATGGCCTGGGAAAGCAGTAGAGAATGGCCAAGTCTTGGAACCCTGCACCTCGCTCCTGTACAAAAGTAAATAAATCTTAAAATAATAAAAGAAAAAAAAAGACTTCTTTAGAGCTGCCCCCCCAGAGAGAGCTGGGACCCCCCCCCAACCATTTATTGAACAATGCAAGACTTTTGATATGTAAACACTGGTTTGCTTGCAGCCTTGTTTCATCACAAAAACTCCTCAGCTCCTGGCACATGCATAAGGTAAGGATTACCCAACAATTTCAGCAAAGTAAGGTGGGAGGGTTAGAAGACAATGGATAAGGTGTGGGTTTCTTTTTGTTATTATTATTTTATTAGAAATACAGGTTTACAGAGAGAAAGTTCTGCCATCTGTTGGTTCATTCTCCCAAAAGCTACAATGGCCGGAGCTAAGCTGATATGATGCCAGGAGCCAAGAGCTGCTTCCGGGTTTACTAAGTAGGTATCAGGCCCAGGCAATTGGTTCGTCCACCTTCCTCTGCTTCCCCAGGCCATAAGCAGAAACGTGGATCAGAAGTGGAGCAGCTGGTGTCCAGTGTGGTAACCTAGTGGCTAAAGTCTTTGCCTCACACACACTGGGATCCCATATGGGTGCCGGTTTGTATCCCGGTGGCCCCACTTCCCATCCAGCTCCCTGCTTGTATCCTGGGAAAGCAGTCGAGGACGGCCCAAAGCCTTGAGACTCTGGTCCCCCATGGGAGACCTGGAAGAATCTCCTGACTTCTGGCTTTGGATCAGCTCAGCTCTGGCTGTTGCAGCCACTTGGGGATTGTCAGCAGTGAGAAGATTTTCCTTCTGTCTCTCTCCTCTCTGTACATCTGACCTTCCAATAAATAAACAAATAAATATTTTGGGCCCAGTGTGGTGACCTAGTGGCTAAAGTTCTCAACTTGAAGCTTTCAGCTCAGCTGAAAAAAAAAAAATATATATATATATATCAGAAAGTCATAGTTAGAGATCTTCCAGTTGCTGGTTCACAATCCAGTTTGCTGAGGGGGCCAGCACTGGGCTAGGCAGAAGCCAGGACCAGGAACTTCCTCTGGGTTTCCCACATGGATGCAAGGCTCAAGGCACTTGAGCTGTCCTCAGCTGCTTCTCCAGATACTCTGTTCCCAGGCCATCAACAGGGAGCAGGGTGGGAATTGGAACAGCCAGGGCAGGAACAGGTGCCCTTTGGGAATGTTGAGATCATAATACAAGTCTCAGAATTCTAATGGTCAAAGACTCGAGAAATGGGTTGAACAACTCTTTTTTTAGTTAGGTGTAGGGAAAATTGGGGGGGGGGGGACCTCTGGCTCCAGGCAGATTATTCTGTATCTGGCTTCCCCATAGTATTGTCATTTTTTATTTTTTAATTAACAATGGACTCACATGTGTTACAGTTGATATCTCCACTGCCTTATTTTTGGTGAAAAAAAATGCAGTGGGTATATCTCTATCATTTTTTACTCAGTTGTTTCCTGATTGGATTTGTAGAGGTAAATGAGATAATCAGTATTATCCTTAAACAACAACAACAAACAAAAACAGTGCTCAGGGTGGGGTGCTTGTCAGGATGTAGTTTAAAATGCTCTATTCCCAGAGATTCGAATTAAAGTTCAAGCGTTTCATGCCTTCACAATGAGTGCCAAACGCTGTGTACCCCAAACTCCGATGAGGAGGTTCAATACCTTTTTGACCCCAAAATGGCAGAAAGATGAGGAGAACTTGGGTTTTTATTGCTTTTTTCCCCCCCCGAAAGGGGCCTCGCTACAGGAAGACACAATAGAGTAAGTCTGGCCAATAGAGATTAACCCGTGCTGCGTTCTCTCCTCTGGCACCTTACTTCGGCTGTGGGGAGGCCGTCAGCACCGAGCCCAGGCTTTCGGACGAGTCAGAACCCCCAAGTGATCTGTTCCGCTTTGCAGGCTCGCAGCGGATTAGAGGAAGGCGAAATGAAACCTCTTCCTGGCTCTGGCCCGGCCGGCTTACCCTGCCCCTGCAGCTCGGCTGAGGAAACCTGTCGCCATCTTGCAGGGTGGGCTGCGCCGGGGCCGGGGAGGACGTGGAGCCGCAGCGCGCCCCCTTGGGAGGAGAAGTGCGCATGCGTACGGCCGACGGCGACGCAGGGGTGGGGCTGGCTCCTGAGTGCGCGTGCCCAGTGCGAGCCCGCGAAGCACCTGGCGGAGGTGGGGGGCGAGGCCGAGCGCAGGAGGCCGAGGGGCGCGTGCGCAGTGGCGCGGCCGCGCGGCCAGAAGGCCCTGCGGAGCACGCGCGCGGAGGCGGGGCTCGGGCAGACCTCGCGAGATTTCAGGAGGCTATATATAAGCGCGGGGAGCCCGCGTCCTTTCCCTGGCGTGATTCCGTCCTGCGCGGCTGTTCTTTGCAGCAGTGGGCGTCCTCTCTCCGTCCGCCTTCTCTCTCGCCCGAGTTCGTCCCAGCGCCCCATGGAAGATTCGATGGACATGGACATGAGCCCCCTGAGGCCCCAGAACTATCTTTTCGGTAGCCGCGGCGGTGGCGATGGGGCGGGGGCGCGTTGGAGCGAGGCGAGCGGGGCCTGGCGGCGTGGTTGGGGGAGGGGAGCGAGGCCGGGAGGATTAGGAAGGGATCCGGGACCCCGGAGGCTGGAGGCCGGGCCCGAGCGGCCTGGGGCGTGCCAAGGCCTGGGTCTCGAGGCCCCCACGCGGCCGCCCAGGGTTCGCGTTGCCCGGGTTACGGGGTAGCGTTCCAGGCGGCTTTGGGGTTCGGAGGGTTTGTGCGCTCGGCGGGCTGGGGCGTCCGCAGGCGGGTGGGTGCGCGGTGAGGCCTGCAGGGCAGCGGGGCGGCGCTGCGGGAATTCCGGGGGGACTGCCCGCGCCCCAGGCCCAGAGGGGAGGTGCGGCCGGGCTCGGCGAGGCCGCGGCCCCCGGGAGCACGTGGTGGCCACGTGGTCGGGCGGAGGGAGGGGTGTGGGCTCTGCATCCGGGGCCCTGGCATTTGTCAGCGCACCCCGAATCTTCCCCAAGAGGTGATGGGAGAAGTCCTAGGAAGGGGAGCGCGCCGATTCCGGAGTCCTTTGTCCGGATGGAGCTCATTCTTCCGTCTCCCTGCTGGGCGGTCTTCACCCACGTGGCAGTGATGGGAAGGCCGCACTTACAAATGCAAATCCAGACGCGAGCTTGCAGAGGCGCGGGGCGTATCGTCTGGAAGGTGTGTGCATGGGCTGGTTTTGCAGTGTGTGTGTCCAACCTCGAGGACTGCCTAAGTGTAACCGGGTACTGAGCACCGTGGGCCCTACCCACATTGTTGCGTTTGGCCATTTCTTTGTAGGTTAGATAGCTGAGATAGCGTAGCCCTGAGTTTAACGTGGAAGTCGCTGAGATTGGCAGCGACTTGTAACGTGCTCAACAATCTGGGTGTTGAGTGGTAGAACATGCAGCCGTCTGCTCGGGGTGGAACTCGCTCGCTGCAGTACACCTTAAGGAGTGAGATGAGACCGTTTCAGGGGTTTGCTGGGTGAAGCCAGACGTTCCTCTGGCTCTTCCTAGGTTAGCCTGTCTCCTAACACGTGCTGTTTCCTGTCCAGGACGGGCTGTTGGCCATGTAACGAGCTTTGCAGGTCGCGTCTGAGCCATCCTGGGCGCCTTAGGCTTGGTTATAGCTTACGGCCTGATTACCAGATCCTGGAAGCTGCTCTGGTGCAGCGTAATTGTCGCCCTGACCCAAGGGTAGATAGTGAGATGAGAAGCTTGGTCTTTGAACTGTAATTGATATAAAGAAGCTCGCATGGGAAATGGTGGAAAACCTGATCTCTCCACTTTATCTAGTAGTGAAGTTGGGAAATTGTATTGAGAAAGTAGGAGTGTTATACATTTCTGCCTGTTGTCATTGGCTTTTCGTTTCTTTACAGGCTGTGAACTAAAGGCTGACAAAGATTACCACTTTAAAGTGGACAACGATGAAAATGAGCACCAGTTATCTTTGAGAACGGTAATTAAGACCTTTCATGATTTCAGCCTAACAGTGTTTTTATAACCGGGTTTTACGCCAACTCTGAACATGTGGCGGGAAACCAGGCACTGCTTATGTGCTTGTGCAGTTGAATAGTGAAAGCTGACAAGTGAAATCTTGGGTTCACCAGACACGCCCACTCACTTGTAGGTACTTAGTGGGTGTAAGGTAGTCATACTTGATGAGAAATACGCTGATGTTAAAACGGTAACAGTGAAAGCTTTACAGGAAGATGTCTGGGGGCAGGATTGTTTGAGGAGCGCCAGAATGACCAAAGCTGAAGTCGGATTCTGTTTGCAGGTCAGCCTGGGTGCTGGTGCCAAGGACGAGCTGCACATTGTTGAAGCCGAGGCCATGAACTATGAGGGCAGTCCAATTAAAGTCACACTGGCAACCTTGAAGATGTCTGTACAGCCAACAGTAAGAGCACTTGGACTTCAGTTTCAATGCTAGGATGTAGTCTTCGCGTGGAGATAGAAAATGAGATTTTTATTTGCTTTATCTACTTAGTCATCAGCAACGTTTTTGTTTCACTGGGGGGTTTGAATGGTCACCTGCACAAATAAGTTCGAACGTAGACTTGGAAAAAGATTCGCTGGTTTCTTTCTGTGTATGGGTTTGCTGCAGTGTTATTTTCATGTTGTGATTGAAAAATCTCCATTTTAGGTTTCCCTTGGAGGCTTTGAAATAACACCACCTGTGGTCTTAAGATTGAAGTGTGGTTCAGGACCTGTGCACATTAGTGGACAGCACTTAGTAGGTATGTTTATATTTATTATTCCGTGTAGTCCTGCATTTGGCTTGGTTCCCAATTTGAATTTAAAGAAACTACTTTTTTTTCTTAGTTATTTGCAAGGCAGATTTTGCAGAGGATAGAGATCTTTTATTTTTTTAAAGATTTGTTTTTTATTGGAAAGTCAGATTTATTCATTGATATGGGAAAGACGGATATATCAAGAGGAGGAAAGACCTTCCGTCCGATGGTTCACTCCCCAAGTGGCCGCAACTGATGGAGCTGAGCCAGTCCCAAGCCACGAGCTCTTCCTGGCCTCCCATGGGTGGCTGTGCAGGGTCTCAAGGCTTTGGGCCATCCTTTATTGTTTTCCCAGGCCACAAGCAGGGAGCTGGAAGGAGAGTAGGGCGGCTGGGGCATGGGATCCTGGTGCCTGCAAGGCAAAGACATTAGCCACTAGGCTATTGCGCTGTTCATTTTTATTGCTGTTCATAGCAAGCTTAAGTGGAGATTTTTATTTGCAAATGGAACGGCAGTGTTAGCATTTAAACAATGAACAGAATTAGTGCCAATTAAATCTCCCATGTTGTAAGTGTTGGAAGGCTTCTGAGGATTCCATGTGATTGTATTCCAGCCGTGGAGGAAGATGCAGAGTCAGAAGATGAAGAGGAGGAAGATGTGAAGCTGTTAACTATGTCTGGAAAGCGATCGGCCCCTGGCGGGGGCAGCAAGGTGCCCCAGGTAGGGATGTGATGCCACTGGATTTTGTCTCCCAAGTTTAACAAATGGCATTTGCTCATGAGTGTTTTTTCTTTCCAAGAAAAAAGTAAAGCTTGCTGCTGATGAAGACGATGATGAGGATGACGATGATGACGATGATGATGAAGAGTGAGTAGCATGTCTTTAGAAACTTGACGTTGTTGTGGGTGATTCTTTTTTTCTAATAGCTTGAAGAGGTGCGTGTGGCCAGTGGTTGGCAGTGAGTTTTTAAAGTCTTCTGTGTGTTGAGACCAGGCACAGGCTGCACAGCTTCAGATACCTTTCTGCACATTTTAGATTTTCTGTAAAGGATTTTGGTGTGTGCTTCTCTTTTTAAGTAATATTTACATGTTTTGTACATGTGGTATCTGAGCAGGAGTCAGAAGCAAACGCCACCCGGGTGCAAGGCCCCGGGCTCTTGAGCCATCTTGTCGAGCAGTGGGTAGCTGGGATTCCATGCTCAGGAAGTAGCTTCATCGCCAACCATGGTGCTTGTCCCCTGTATCTGATCATCTTCCCGGGCGTGCATCAGCAGGAGGCCCAGCACCCAGTTAGGGGATGCCGTCAACTGCAGTTAAGAGGGCCAGTGGGCCAGGCTGACCCAGGAGGCTGAGCTCCCAAGCACCTGGGATTTGTTTCTATAGGCCATGAGTGAGCCATCGGGACATGCCCAGACTGGGTACCTTTGCTGCTGAGGTTTCTCCATGTGCATTTTGGGCAGTGCAGAGATGGAGACACCAACTGGAGAGGGTCTCCATCTGTGGTTCACTCCCCGTTGGACTAGAACTGAACCAGGAGGCCAGGATCTTGTTGAGGCTCTCCACACCTTTGCAGGCTCCTGAGGCTTTGGGCCAGCTTGCATTGTTTACCCAGGCCACATGTGCAGAGGTGGAAGGGAAGTGGCGCAGCTGGGACACAAACTGGCATTCATAGGGTTTGAGGCACTTGAAGGTAGAGGATTAGTTTGTCAAGTCAATCTTAAGATTGCATTACGATGTTTATCATGGTTAGTGATGTTGCTTCGTCTGGTCTCCTGGCGATGGCGCATTAGCACAGGCCGAGCAGTGTTATACCTGTCTCCAACCCCTCCAACCACCGCTAGTGATGATGGGCTTGTTCCTCAGCTAGTGAATTCGCTCTGTACATTTACTCATGGGTTTGCTGATTCTGCACACTTCATTGACCTCTTGGAGGCTTAGTTAAAGGGACTGCGAGGCCTTGCTCAGAACTGTGCTTGTCATTGGTGGCGTCTGTTTCCGTTCTGACTGATGGGCAGGCTTGATTGTATTGACCATGTTGTGTCTTTGGAGAGATGTATTCAGATCCCTTGGCCATTTAAAACATTGCTACAGTTTATTTGCAAGTTTGCAAATTGAGTTAACTTCTGTCTAGATGGTGGCCTTGGGTGTTTTTTTTTTTTTTTTTTTTTTTTGCTTTTACTGTGAACCATTGCCAGATCAAATCGTGAATATGAGTAGTTTTGCCTTTTGGTGTAGATGCTATATTACCCTTTATGCTTATATTTTATCTTTCTAAATATGTATTTTTTTATTGGGAAGTCAGATACACAGAGGAGAAAGAGATGATCTTCATCTGCTGATTCACTCCCCAAGCATTTGCAACAGCGGGAGCTGTGCCAGTCCAAAGCCAGGAGCTTCTTTCCAATCTCCCGCATGGTTGTAGGGTCTAAGGCTCTTCTGCTTTCCCAGGTCACAAGCAGGGATCTGGATGGGAAGTGGGGCCACCAGGATTAGAATCACTGCCCATGATGGCTCCCAGTGCTTGCAAGGCGAAAACTTAAGCTTCTGGGCCATCGCACCGGGTCCTGCCCTAATAAACATTAAAGACATTTACAAAGGAGTCAGCTGTGTCTTGATGGTGTTGGCTGTGAAGAGTGTTGTCTTTCGGGCCTGGGTTTGACCGAGGCTCTGGCTCAGCACCGAGTGGTGTGGTCACTTCCCGTCTGTCCAGCCACTGCCATGTCCAGGTGCTGCTCTGGCTAGTGAGCGGTGCTGCAGTGAACATGGAGCAAATGTCTTAGATTTTGCTTTTCTTTGTTACTGCAAAGTTGTTAAATGTGTCCTGTTTCCTTTGTAGTGATGATGATGATGATTTTGATGACGAGGAAGCTGAAGAAAAAGCTCCAGTGAAGAAAGTAGGTTGCCATTCAGTACTGTTGACCTGCGAGCAGCAGGGCAGGCTTGCTGACAGTTGGCTCTGGGCAGCCTTCCATCAGAAGGACTGTTCCTCTGTTGGCAGTCTGCTTGCACTTTGAATTTATGTAGTGAGATTTCTGATTAAGGTTTCTACTTTCAGTCTGTACGAGATACGCCAGCCAAGAATGCACAGAAATCAAACCAGAATGGAAAAGACTCCAAACCATCTACACCAAGGTCAAAAGTAAGTGGCGAGAAGCCCACAGCCTCCGTGGAGGTTCTGAGCCCTGTCGGGGTGCAGCCGGCGGCTTTGGGAGGTGCGAGGAAGTTGCAGCTGAGCTGATCTCATGTTTGAACTAAAATGTAAATTCAGCATGAATATCTCCCCCAGGTTGTGTGCTTGTAAATTAGGAAGGATTGTAAGAGTAACTGGAGGAAGCCATGGAGATGGGTTTGATTTTTTTTTTTTCCCTCACTCCCCCACCCCCGAGCTGTTCATGAAAATTTGAAATTAAACTTTTCCTCTAGGGGCAAGAATCATTCAAAAAACAGGAAAAAACTCCAAAGACGCCAAAAGGACCTAGTTCTGTAGAAGACATTAAAGCAAAAATGCAAGCAAGTATAGAAAAAGTGAGTAACCCTACAGAGAGGCTGTCTGATGTTTGAATAAACCGGAATGCTAACTCCTTTTTTAACCTGTGTATTCTGAAATTAGCGGAATAAGTAATAGTGTGTATGTTTGTATGTCTTCCATTGTAAAGCACTGTGGTTGCGAGATGTTCTGACCTTAGGTGTTAGAGAAACATTGCCTGCACTCTGCTTGTCATACCTTTTAGGACCAGCAGAGGGTGGCAAACCTTCAGTTGCAAGCAGCTGCAGAAGTAGCAACACGGCTGTTCCAGCTTAGCATAAAGAAATATTTTCTTGATGATCCAGTCCCTTCCATTTGCCCTTATGAAGGCGTCCTCAGTCAAGTACATTTGAGTAATAGTTATGGGATCAGCTCTTGATCTACCACTTAAATGATTTCAGATTAGATTTTTGTAACTGAACAATATGCCGAGTGGAATCATGGATCTAGATGTCCTTGTTGCATTTCATAGCAACTTTAATAGTACAAATATTTTGATCCTACTTAATGGGAATGAATGTGGCATGGTGAGGACAACCTGCTGGCTCCTTTGCCCATGTGTGGAAAAAAGTATTTACAGCCACAGTGTAAACGCTGCAGCCTCATGTCACTGATTATCCCCTGTGTACGGTGCTAACATGGCTTTTAGATCCTCTCCCCCAGGTTTTAATGTGATCCTTTGCTTGGTTTAATTGCAGGCGAATTGAACAGTCCTGAGCACTACTGCCCCTTCTAGGCTGGAAGCAGTTCCTGTTTAGCACCGGGCACTCATTCAGTGACCTTTGTCTGTTACATGTGCATATACCCAGTTTTGTTAATTGTGAATCCCCTTTTGTATCCTTAGCTGCTTAATAAATGTTTGAATCGTAAAGTGAGAATGTATGTGACAATAATTTAAAGGTGGCAGGGCACAGTACACAGTATGGTCCCTTTGGCATGGTAGTGCTTCCTGTGACAAAGCACTTGGTTTTACTCACGGGTGTGGCTGCCGCTTTACTCAGCCATGATTTAAGGAAATGAGAATGTTACTTGCAGATTACTGAAATGCTAGATTCTACACTTTTCAGTTTTACATGATTCCTGTATTCTGGTTATGGTGTTGGACCTTAGCTCTTTGTGAAATATTAAGTATTTTGTGGTTTTCCAAAGGGGCATGTACTTGGTTCTAGGTGGTAGATGGTGCTTGACAAGACACGTGGCGGAGTGCCTTTGTACCTGTAGAACCTCGCCTGTCTTGTGCGGCTGAGTCTAGTGGAATCCTCGCAACAGGAGAGATGCAGCAGTGAGCCGGCCACGCAGTGGCATGCAGATCTTACTCACATTCTAAATTGGCGTTTTTCGGTGCTTACCCTTCATTTTCTTTCCCATTAGGGTGGTTCTCTTCCCAAAGTGGAAGCCAAATTTGTCAATTACGTGAAGAATTGCTTCCGGATGACTGACCAGGAGGTAACTTAACTTTTGGAGGATGTAATTAAATCCAGATTTCTGTGATTTATTAATATTCTGCTTTTCAGTGTTGGCTCTTAACCAGACAACACACTGGATTAAATAACATGGGAACCATTAAGAGCTGCACTGGCAGAGTGAGAGACAACATCTTGTGCATTTCCCCAGCTTTCATAGCTGGCAAATTACCTCTTGGTTTGACTTCGGTGCTGTCTTGGTGGCCGGCGAAATGCTCTGGTTACCTTGCTGTTCTGTTTGGCTGCTTGAAGTCTGCTTGGATTTCTTGATAGTCTGCTAAAGTCAGTCTAGAGGAGGAAGGTGATGTTGCATTTATACTATATGAATGTTTTTCATTGGTTATAGAAAACGGACTTGTTTATGCCAGCCTATTTGCAGTTTTCTTCAAAATTGTACAAACGCTTTAGAAGAACATTGAGTTTAAATTTTGTCATTATTTAAAAGGGAAAGGTCACCTGGAGCCAGCTGCTGCTCTGGGCCTTCCATGCAGGTTCAGGGTCCCAGGAGCTTAGGCATCTACTTCTTGCCTGGGCAAATGAAGCAGCCCGTGTGCAATGGGAGCCCTTCCGCACGGCCAGGGCCATGGGCAGACGGAGTTTAGTCTAACCTGACCATGCTTCAAATTTGGGTTTTGATTCTGTGAATGGGGTTGTATCTTAGCGATTTAGCTTTTTGACACTGCAGTTAGGATTCTGTGGCTGTCATTAAATGGCCAGCTCTTCAGATGGCCTGTATTTCTTGTTTGCTGGTACCCAGAGTTCTTTGTTGTGGGTCCTCACTGCACCTGCTAGAAGGCAGCGAGAGGGCGACACCCACCCTAGGCAAGACCTTGGTTGCTCTCGCAGCCACCAGCCTTTGCAGGCACTTAAAGTGAGCCAACAGACGGATGTGCTCTGCCTGCTTTGGAACTATTGTGCAGTTGTTAATTCAGTATTGAATGGTGGAAAAGAGCTGTAAACACGTTTTTGATCAAGAAAAGTCTGGGTGAGTTTGGCCCTCCACATTATGTGATATCAGTCTTTGCACTGAAATGACTGCATTAATACCAGAAGTGGAATTTTTTTTAACTGCCAGGATGAGTTTTGTTATACTAAACGTTAGTATTTGATTATGTCTCAACCAGACTTATTTCTTATTTTGGGATGCACAGACAAGTATTCACATGTCTCCTGTCCTAGAGCACTGTCTGAGAAGTATGGATTTGGGAACATTTGGGGGTTTGTATTAGGAATGCTGAGCTTGTCGAGTTATTGGCTCTAAGTGAATTGGTTAACATAGGAAACTTCTCCTTTGGCTGGTACAGTATTTTTCTCAGGAGGACTTGCTTACAAGGCTTTGTCAGTTAAAATCCCTTCCAATATCAATAGCAAATGTTTATGAAAAACTCGAGTAAGAATAAGTTGAACTTTTGTGCAGATAGGCCAGCAGATCTGCAGAGTGGGTGACATCATTTTGCCCCTGACCACCTGAATGCGGTTCACGCAGCATTTTTGATAGTTAATGTCAAATGGAGGCCTGTTGGACAATCCTGTTTTTCTAAAGCACTGTCGTGTGATGTATTTAAAAGGCCATGTAGGTTCTTAATGTTTCTTATCTGAAAGGTAGAGTTGCAGAGAGGGATACAGGGATTTCCAAAAAACTGTCTCATTCCTCCAAATGGTCTCAACGGCCAGAGCTGGTCTCTGCCAGTTTGAATACGAATCACGTGTGTTAAGCAAGAGATGCTGCTTTCCCCTTACTGGTAGACATTTCTAGTTCACGAGGATGGTACAGTTGAGCAAGATGGTACAGTACAAGTGCATCTTGGGCTGGCTGAGGGTGATGACAGTCACGTTCTCTCATGGACAAACCAACGGAAGTGATTCCGTGTGAGATGAGGGAGGTAAGATCAGTGCAGGGAAACAGTGAAGTAAAAATCTTTGAAACTTATCAATTGGCAGGCAGACCCTAAAGCTGATCTGCAGGCTGAAGGCCGTGTATTGGCCCAATTGGCCATGATGTTAAATTGTATTCGTGTACTGTTGAATAAATCTGAATACTTAGCTTGAGTGTGTCTCAGAATTGGTTCTTGATCACCTGGAGTGTGACTGGTGGATGTTGAGCTTTGGGAAGAGATAGGACTGATTGATGCTTATGAAATACTGTGGCTCCCTTAACCATGTGTCTTTTTTTTCCCTTCCAGGCTATTCAAGATCTTTGGCAGTGGAGGAAGTCTCTTTAAGAAAATAGTTTAAACAGTTTGTTAAAATTTTCCGTCTTATTTCATTTCTGTAACAGTTGATATCTGGCTGTCCTTTTTTATAATGAAGAGTGAGAACTTTCCCTGCCGTGTTTGATAAATGTTGTCCAGGTTCCATTGCCAAGAATGTGTTGTTCAAAATGCCTGTTTAGTTTTTAAAAGATGGAGCTCCACCCTTTGCTTGGTTTTAAGTATGTATGGAATGTTATGATAGGACACAGTAGTAGCGGTGGGCAGACGTGGAAATGGTGGGGAGACAAATATACATGTGAAATAAACTCAGTATTTTAATAAAGTAGAACTGTTACTCTTCTATTCACTTTTTTTATGCTTCAAGGAAGGAGGTTTAACATGAGACAGTTTCTGTCCCTGGAAATACTCCCTGGAGTTAACACCAGTATCTGACAATTACAGTACCTCTTACATTCCCACCTCCTGACCTCAACTTCCGTCCCAAACGAAATCTGGCCAGTTGGAACACATAGTGAAGTTTTTCATAGCCTGTATGCAACCATCTAGTAAGAAAAAAAATTTGAGTGGCTGTTTCTCAGTTTGTTCATTGTGGAGTCTGTTGGCTGTATCACTACGCTTTCTCTGCTGTGGTGCAGTATTTTACAAGTATGTTGGAGAAGTATAGTAATTTTCGGTATTTTTACAATGCTTCAGGCTACCTTCTAGGTTGTGTATCTTCTCACAGTCTTGCCATGGTCCTAAGTTGTGATTGGCCTATGTTCCTTTGAATTCCTGTGTTGGGCCCTGGGTGGACTCTGGGCGATCTTGGGGGAGATTTCAGGGTCTCACTTGTATCTGTTCTTAGACTTTGTCTGATTCTCTTGCATGTTTTTCCTCATTCCTTTGTCTAAATTTTAGAAAAGACTATTTTCTGTCTTAAATTTTTCTCGGTTTTAGTTTTAGCTGTAACAAAGTGCCTGTGTCATTGGAATGCACCTAAAATCTGAAAAATACTAATTCACCCAATTTCATTTTGTTTACCTCCACCCACCCTTCCTGTGTTTATTTTATTAGAAAAGCAGATTTTATAGACTTTCCACTGGGTCACTCTCCAGTGGGTGCAGCTGAGCAGGTCTGAAGCCAGGACCAGCTTCTGGGTCTCATGTGGATGCAGGGTCCCCAAGGCTTTGTGTTGGCTTCCACTGCTTTCCCAGTCCACAAGCAGGGAGCTGGAAGGGAAATGCAGAAGTTGAAACAGACCAGTGCCTATGTGGGGTGTGCAGGGAAAGAACTGAGCCGTCATTTGCCCCCCTCTTCCTGACTCCCGAGTTGTAGATTTAGTGGTGTGCTATAGGATTATATGTAAGATACAGTCCTTTGGGGTCTACTCTCCTAGCCCTTTTGGGCTAGCCTTCCTAGCTCCAGATACCACCCATTTGGGGGCAGAGGGGCTGGCACCAGTGGTTTGGTAGTTGGCAGGTGTCATTTAGATGATGCTTTCCTGCTCATCTTGGAGGCACACCAGCGTGATTTGATCCTGCTTCACGGTGGGTGGTGTCACACCAATTCCAAATGAAGTAGTTCACTTGGCTTGCTGGAGTAACGTTTAACTAATGGCACAGTTGTTACTGTGAAGACGATGGTGCCTAAGGTGGGTTAATTGCCTTTGTTTGCCTTAATAGGAGTCAGGTTCACATAATTGTTTAGGTGTCTGAAGGACTTGGCCATTCTGAGTGGAACGCCCTGGGGCTGCTTTATTTCCGCCATACTGCATCACTTTTGGAAGAATATCCTGTGTAATCTGGCTACCTTGATAGTGTAAAGGAAGGTGCTGGCTGGTCGCTTCAGTCCAGCTACTGGCTAGGCACACCATGACTGAGGCGGTCAGACTGCTGACCATGCAGTTTACCCTCGCTAGCATGAGGTTGGTGTTGGTAGTGGATCCCAAGGCTTCAGCTTCTACCGTGCAGTTGAACTTCAGATGTATGGAAAAATGCATGGTGTGCAAGTAGACGGCCATCGGTTTTTCTGCAAGTCCCTCAGGCTTTAAAAGTTTTTTTACTGCTAAGTCATAACTACAGAGGAGAGATTCATTCACTCCAATTGCTAGAAGTGGTAGCAAGCTAGCCCTTACTTTTTGCTACCAATCTCCACTATGCTAAATAATTTTTAAAATTTAGACTCGAGGTAGACAATAAGAGAATTGGTAAGGCGTTCCCATATTGGTGGCACCATCAAGGCCCACCAAGATTCAGGCATGTGATACACGGGTCATATGGGGGACGTGTGAAGCCAAGTTTGAGAATGAGCAAAGTGAAGCTATTGCAGTTAGGGTGTGGCACCATGGCGTGCAGGCTGTTCCTCTGCCTGCAGTGCTACCATCCCTTGAGGGTGTCAGCTCCTTGCTAAGGCCTTCAGAAACCAGTGCAAGATGGCCCAGCTCTTTGGGCCCCTGCATCCATGTGAGAGCTCTGGAAGAAGCTCCTGGCTCCTGGCTTCGGACAGACCCAGCTCTGGTTGTTGAAGCTGTTTGGGGAGTGAATCATCGGATTGAACACTATTTCCTCTGTATTTCTGCCTTTTGGATAAAATTGTCTTAAAGACATTCTAGTAAGATACCTCAACCAACTTGGGGGTGAGCCTAGCCCCTCCCCTATTTTGTGAAATTCTGAAGGAGTGTAATGTGAGAATTTGGGAACCATAGCTGCAACCATCAGTAACGGCATGTAGGAGCCAGCCTCCGGATGGTCCCTGCAGTTATGACTGTTGTTGACCATATTTTTGTGGATGTTGGAGGCAACATGCAGATGCCAGGCCTTGTGCTCTGAGCCTAGAGCCATTCCCTGGACTTTGAAACGGCCATTGTGATTTGGAGGCAGGTTGGACAAATGGACACATCAGCAAGCATTTGAGGTACGACATTAAATAGCCACATAGTCCATTCCACAATATAACCAGGTCATTATGTAGAGAGCTGTGACTGTAATAAGCTAGGTGGTGAGCTCAAAACACCCGCCCCTTCACTGGATGTGTGAGGTCTTTCCAGAGAGCATCACAGGGCCTGGTCCCGGCATCTCTCTTTTTAAAAAAGATTTATTATTTTTTATTGTAAAGTCAGATACACAGAGGAGAGACAGGAAGATCTTCCATCCGATGATTCACTCCCCAAGTGACTGCAAGGGCCAGAGCTGAGCTGATGTGAAGGCAGGAGCCAGGAACCTCCTCTGGGTCTCCCACATGGGAGCAGATGCAAGGTCCCAAGGCTTTGGGCCATCCTTGAGAGCTTTCCCAGGCAACAAGAAGGAAGCTGGATTGGAAGTAGGGCCACTGGAATTAGAACCGGCGCTCATATGGGATCCTGGCACGGACTTGCAAGGCAAGGACTCTAGCCACTAGGCCACCTCATCAGGCCTGGCTCTCGCATCTTTGCTCATTCTAATGGTGCTTGGTCTTCACATCCGACCTTGGCATGCATGTCGGAGACTATGGAGTTAGGAAGGATGGTTGTGGGCGCAGACTGTGGCGCAGCTGTTGGGTTGACACCCATATCCCATATCAGTGCATCTCCTTCCAGTCTAGCCCTCTGCCCGGGCACACCATGGGAGGCAGCGGGCTGAGATGGCCAGGCGCCTCTCACTTCTGCAGGTGGCTTCTGCCCGCAGGGCCCGGCCCTAGCAGCATTTGGGAAGATGGCAGTGGTCACAAGATGGCGCTCTTTGTCTTGAGACATTCAAATAGTCACAAGCAGTTACGGCAACGAGAATTTCTATGTAAAATTAGCTTTGTTTCACACAAAAGCTTCTTCCATCATTCAGCATCTACTCATGCAGGTTTTCAGATTGTTTTAAAATGGCCTCTGTTTATGGGCCGTCATTGTGGCACAGTGGGTTAATCTTGTCTCTTGAGGCTCCTGTATCAAGAGTTCCTGGTTCGAGTTCCAGGTCCAGTGCTGGCTGCCCCGGGCCTGTAGGAAATGAACTAGTAATCTCTCCCTCGTACTCTAGCCCCTAACCCCAGCACAACCTTTCACTTTTTTTTTAAGTTGCTTTAGCTTTGAAACTTGAATAGCTTGCAGGACGGTTTGATACTTGGAATGAACACGGACATTCCAGACTCATGATTAGGAAATACTGTGTGCCTCAGTTTATGTTCTAGTTCAGTGGGAATATTAACCACAACCAACAACACAAGGAGGCTTTTAACCAAAGAGTCCAGATTCCTGAGTTTTGCTTTATAGCTTGTTTTCCAGTTTCTTTCCCACTGTGGCCTGTTTGCTTTAGCACCAGGCCAGACAGAGCCTGGCTGACTGACGGCAGGGTGTGAGGATATCTAGTTTTGGAGGCTGGTGGCAAGGACAGGCATTGTGCCCCTGGAAGGATCGGAGGCCATCCTAGCCAAAAGAACCGAGCCGCTTTAGTGTGCAAATGGAAGCGAACCTTAGCCCCAGAGTGGGCGCTGACCAGAGTTCTGGCTACTCCCCGGCCCGTGGCGCGCCCGGTTTAGGGCGCAGTGACGCCTCAGCATCGCTAGGTGGCAGCCACGTGTTTCCAAAGCTGGTTCGCCGATCTGGGAGCCCGGCGGGGGCAGCCCCGCGACCCCGGAACCCCAGAGGGGGCAGGGGTGGGGCAGGGAAGAGACGTCCCGGAACCTCCCCTTCCAGCGACCGGCACGGCGAAGGACGAAGACCGGCTCCCTTAGAGTAGTCAGCCCGCCGGGAGGGCTGCTTGGGAATTGCCCTGTCTTGCGTGGGCTCATCCGGGTGGTAAAAGCGACACCCCTCCTCCTTCCCTCTCTCAGCGGAGCCGCCCTGGGGGCTGGGCTTGACCGCTTCCCCCACACCCCCCGCTCTGAGGCGGGTGGGTGTGCCTGCAAGTAGTGACTGTGGGCGAACGAGGACGCCCCGCACTTCAGTGCGTCCTGGGGGACCGCCGCTCGCCAGATTGGAGCAATGTTTGCGCTCTAGCGCGGGTCACTTGCACCGGGCGCTGCGCTCCGACGGCTTCCAGCACGCAAGGGCCCCGGTCTCGCCGGGGCTGTTCCTACGGAGCTGCGGGTCCAGTCGCCGAGAGTCTGATCGCCCCCCTTCCATCCGGAGCCGCCAGGAGGAGGAGGAGGCGGCGGAGGCAGTGGAGAGGCCGCAGCAGGCAGGCAAGCGGGCAGGGCCGCCTTTGATGTGGGCGCGGCGCACCCAGGCGAGCTGAGCGCCCGTCCGGCCGCGCCCCGAGGGGGGAGCCCCCGGGCCCCGCATCCTCATTGTGCCGGCTCGGGCCCGGGCCCGCCCCCGGCCCCCCGCCCCCTCGCCGCCCGCGCGTAGAAAACGCCCCGGCCGCCGCCAGTGGTGGGAGGCGGCGATGCGCACGGCCGGAGAGACGCGGAGGAGGAGACATGAGCCGGCGGGCTCCCAGACGGAGCGGCCGTGACGCGTTCGTGCTGCAGCCGCGCGCCCCGGTCCTGGAGCGCTGACCCCTGGCCCCGCGCAGCCCCGCGCCCCGGCCAGAGAGCGCGCCCTGACTGCCTAGCCCCGCTGCGCATGCAGTCTTTGGAGTGAGCCGACCAGCCAGCCAACCTCCCCGCGGACGCCCGGCCGACCGGCCGGCCAGCGCTGAACCAGTTTCCCCCGCACCGGCCGGGCAGCCTCCTGCCACGGAGGCGGCCCGCCCCGCAGCCCCCCGCGCCAGCCCGTAGGGCGCAGCGCTCGGGAGGAGCCGCGCGGGGCGCTGATGCCGCAGGGCGCGCCGCGGAGCGCCCCGGAGCAGCAGAGTCTGCAGCAGCAGCCGGCGAGGAGAGAGCAGCGGCGGCGGCGGCGGCGGCGGCGGAGGCGCCCGGTCCCGGCCGCGCTGAGCGGACATGTGCAGGCTGGGCTAGGAGCCGCCGCCTCCCCCGCCCAGCGATGTATTCTGCGCCCTCCGCCTGCACTTGCCTGTAAGCGCCCGCACAGCGAGGTTACCCACCCTGCCTGGTCGTATGTGCCCGAGGCTCGGCCTACCCGCCCTGACTTTCTGGGATACGCGTCCGTCTGTCCGCGGGTCCCCTCCCTCGAGTCCCACTGACCGCTTCTCCGTCTCTTTCTCTCTTCCAGGTGTTTACACTTCCTGCTGCTGTGCTTCCAGGTACAGGTACGTGGACACTCGCCCCTGCCTCGCCGTACCAGCCGACCCCACTCTCCTGGGCCGCGCCCCCTCCCTGGGCCCCACCCCTCCTGGGCGCCGAGCCCAGTGCACCTGTTCCCAGGGCGCGGAAGGGCGGCTCCGCGCGCGCACCCTGCCCCTGCACCGGTCAGATCTGGCTAAGAGCAAGGGGCTCGGGCCAGAGTGGGCTGGGAGGAGATTCCACTCGCGAGCCGACCGACTCCCAGTCGTGGCGATGTGCGTTCCCCGACCCCCAGCCCGCTGCCCGCAGCCGCTGGAGTTGGTTGGGACCTGGGGCGGTGAGAACGGGGTTTCTCCGCTTAACATCGCTTCACATCGCCGCTCGTTCTTCCTAACAGAAAGGCTTGTTTCAAGCCGAGTGGATTTCGAGTCCGGGGAGGGAGATTCAGTTGTAAATTACTCTGCGGTTTCGAAGGCGTTTGGAGGAGAAAGAGAAAGAGAGAAAGAGAAAGAGAGAGAGAGAGAGAGAGACAGACAGACACGCACAGGCGGGAGACGCGGGGAGACGCGGGGCACCGGGGCCCAGGGCCGCTTCTGCGCCCACTTGCGCGGGCCGCGCTGCGTACGCCCTCGCCCGAGGTGGTGCAGCCCTACTTCCCCGCCTGCTCCCTCTTCACTCGGGCTCGCCGTGAATCAGAGGAGGGCTTGGCGCTTAGCCTGGAAAGCACTTGCTAAAATCTGATCTGTTACTTCAGCAGCTTTCAGACTCGGCAAGGTCTTGGCACGCAGACAGTTGGAACGCGCAGGCTTCCAAAGCCGTGGAAATGAAGGGGCGGGGGGGAGGAGGGTGGTGGGAGGGAGCGAGCGCAGAGGGAGAGAGGGAGCTGAAGTCAGCGGCGATTAGAACCAGACCAGGGCTGCCGCGGCATGGTGGTGCTGAGGGGCGGGCAAAGGCAAGAGGAAGGCCCTAACCCCCACCCACCTGGAGCTGCACCGGAGAGGCAGGGTCCGAGGCTGAGCCCCTGCATGGGCCTCTTCCACCTTCTAGCAGCGGGCAGCTGTCCTCCCAGGGTTAGGGGAGATGCTCCCCCTGGCCTTTTGGGCCCTGGAGCCCTGGCAAGGTGTTTGTCTTAGTATCCTAGCACAAGGAGGAGCTGGAGCGCGTGGAAGGAGGTGGAGACCCAGAAACCTCTAACAGTGTCTGTGAGGGGGTGGGTTTCCAGTCTCCCTCCCTCCCCTTCCTAGTGTAGCAGGCTGGAAGGGCAAGCGGATGGACCAACTGATGGGTTCTCTCCTCCTTGTTGGCCTGGCTGGGTCCCCGATGACTCCTTGAATCAATACAACCCAGAGTTAGTAACTTAATGCTGGCTGTTTGCCAAAGCAGCTGTGGCCCCCCTTGTGGGGGTGGGTTGGTGTAGAGGCAGAGGGGCCAGTGCCAGGCATGTTCTGCCTGGGCCACAGTTGAGTCGCAGTGCAGAGCCAGTGGTGAGGTCCCAGCATGTCCACTGGGAGTGGGGGTGGGGTCCTGCCTTTCTGACCATCCACGGTCCCTGATTGAGTCGGGGGAGGGAGTGGAAGAGAAAAGCTCTTTCCCGGAGTGGGTAGCGTGGGGATGGAAGCTGAAGAAATGGGCATGGGGGTGAATGGGGTCTCTGGACCTTGTTGCCCAGACTTCTGGCTGCTCCCAGGAGGTGGCCCTAGAGGTGAGTCCAGGGAGGTGCTGGGGGGGGGGTGGCGGTAGTCTGGCGTCTGCATCCCCTTCCCCCGTTCCCTCCCAAGCCTCACCCCCAGCCTGCAGCATCTTGGGAGAGAGCCCGGTGGTCCCACCTGGGTGAGGACAAGGATTAGCCTTGCAGCAGGTAGAGGAGCCGTCTCCCCCACTCCCCTTCCTGTGCCCTTTTGTCCTCTCTAGCCTCAGAGCTGATGGCTTTAACCGAGAGCCCCTGTATCCTCAGCATGTTTAAAGATGGGATTATGGAGGGGACTGTGTGTGTGTGTGCACGTGCACCTGAGACATTGAACTGAAACTGCTATCCCAGTGGGCTGTGTCTGGAAGACAGTACTCAGCTCTTCAAAAGATTGTCAAAAGTAAGGCCTCCAAGATCAAGAATTGTTAGCTTGGGCGCGGGACAAGCAAGGTTGGCAAGCCTCAGGTCGCCATTCACACTCCTGGGGTGCTTTGGGGCAAGGAGATGGTGGCGGAGGGCATGTGGTGTTGGTGGCCTGAAGGAGTCAGCGGTCCTTTCTCTGCCAAGATGGGTGCTGGTGGGTTCCTGCTGGGGACAGCTCTAACCTGGGCAAGGCATGTCATAGTGTGGCATTTGGAGCCCCTTGCGTGCAGGCAGGGTCTAGGGAGGGGAGTTTCAGGGAGCTTCTGCTCTGTCTGCCTGTGTGTGTGGCTTCCTGCCAGCCTGGGTTCCATCCTGTGCAGAGCAGGTGGCCGTGTTGTCAGAGGGGTACCTGCTCAGGAGTGAGTGGGAGAATTCCTGCCCACCCAGGAAGGAACCTGACATTGTCGCTCTTCCCTCCCCCACCGCAGTGTTGGTAGGTCGGATCCTGTCTCAGTAAGGACATTTTTGGGCTCCTCCCCTCCCCCTGTCTATCAGCATCCCTCTTTTTGCCTGCCCGCCCCTCCACCCCCGCCATACCCACTCCAGGCCCGGAAAAGGTCCCTGCCCCCCGCCCTGGCCACGTTTCCTTGAGCACATTCAATGCCTGACCCTGTCGTCTCCCAGCCCCCCAGCATGGTGAGCCCCGCCCTCACCCACTGGCCACCCTGGGGAAGCGGGAAGCTGGGAATTTAATAAAATCCCTTCATCCCTTCTCCGCACGACTCGGGACACCGTGGATAGCTCAAATCGGAAGAATTTTAAAAATTTCCGCGGGGAGCAGGCGGCGTGACCGCTAAATTGCTTTTCTGCACTTGGCTGAGCTCTGACAATGACACCGGGCTGGGTCTTTCACACGGGCCCAGCCGGCACCTGCCTGACATTGTTTGCACCGCCAGGCTCCGCTAGGTCCTGGTTTGCCCCAGACAGACAGGCCGGGCCAGGAGTTGGGGGTGGGGAACTTCCTCCCACCCACCCCTTGTTCCTCCCTCTGGGTTGCTTCCTCAAATCTCTGCAGGACATGTTCAAGTTTGGAAGTTTGCCCCCTTTGGACCAAGGACCCCTCCTACACAGTGTCCACTGGGGAGGAGAGAGCGGGAAGCGGTCCTATCGGATATCCTGTGGATTCTTTTTTTCTTTTTCTCCCCCCACCCCTTAAGATTTAGTTATTTTTATTGGAAAGTCAGATTTATGGAGAGAAGGAGAGACAGATCTTCTATCTGCTGGTTCACTCCCCAAGTGGCTACACAGCCAGAGCTGAGCTGATCTGAAGCCAGGAGCCTCTTCTGGGTCTCCCACATGGGTGCAGGGTCCCAAGGCTTTGGCCCGTCCTCAACTGCCTTCCCAGGCCACAAGCAGAGAGCTGGATGGGAAGTGGAACAGCTGTAATATGAACCGGCACCCATATGGGATCATAGCACATGCAAGGGACGTTAGCCACTAAGCAGCATTTTTTCACTGGTCTGCGCCTGGAGGTGTGCCCTCAGCCTGTAGCTGCTGGAAGCCTGCCTCTTGGTGGCCTTGGGAGCGAGCCCCGTCTGTGGCCTCTAAGAGCACACCTAGTGTAGAGGAGGAGGCCGGGTCAGTGGGAGTTTGTTTAGTCTCCTCCTTGGCTCCCAATACTGTGAAGTGTAATAAGACTGGGTATGTGTGCTGCCCATTTCACAGGCAAGGAAGCTAAGCCTGCTGGGAGGTGGGGAGTGACTTTCCTAAGGCTTCTTGGTGAGGATTGCAAAGTAGCCGCAAAAAGCTGGCTTCATTCTTCCACGTGTGCCAAAGGAGGCTGACGGAGGAGGTGGGCGTAACGTTCCTATTTCACAGATGGACAAGTGGAAGAGATGTGAGCCCTACAAACATTGGTGGTGATACAGGGTCCCAAGAAGCGTGCTTGGGGGCCGCAGCCTGAGGCCTGTTTGGGTTCCTGTGTGTGAGTATGTGAGAGAATCAGTGCCTGGATCTGCAGGTCTTGCTCTTCCTGGGAATCTAGTGACCAAAGAGGGTCCCCACATTAGGGATGGGCATCTGGAGGGGGTCCCTGCATCCCCCTTGCAGTCTCTGGTCCAGTGTGGGGGAGGGGCAGGCGCCCTGCCAGCATTTCTGCAGCTCGGGAGTGTCACCCACTGTGCTTCCAGATAAAGAGGTAGATTTCTAGAATTTCTTGTGGTTGGCATGGCTGGTGTCAGCAGGCTTGGGGCAGTTGGATGGAAGGGTTACAGGCGCAGCCTCCACCCACGGGGGAGCAATCCTTGAGGTCCTGGGACCCTCCTGGGAGAGACCCACATTCTCTGAAGGAAGGTTGTGAGTGTGGCAAAGTGGGGTGCAGGCCCACCAGGCCAAACAAGACAAGCATGGGGTGGTTACAGTGGCTGCTGGGTGTTGCACTCCATGTATCGTGGGTCCCCTCCTGGCCACGCCCCACAAGCAGCCTTGGAATTAGGGCCGTCTGAGCTGCACAGAGAAGGTCCCGAGGCACACAGCAGTAGCTTTGGTTGCTGTTGGTCACACAGCAAGAGTCAGCTGTAGAGTTAGGGAAAGGCTGAAGGAGGAGTCTCAGGAAGCCAGCCAGCTTCAGACTGTTGGCTGCACCTTCTCTTGCCTCGGTGTCCCCGGCAGGTGACTCCAGACCCCTGAGGCTCAGCCTCTGCACATGGGAAACCTGCAAAAACCAACAAGGTGGTCCGTGCTTTCGAAGGGGAAATGCATGGCTGGGACCTCTTGCTTGCTCTTCAAGCTCCAACCCCTGTGTCTCTGAGTTTGGGAGGTGCCTCACCCCAGCCCCCTGTCCTTTCTTGGGGCTCTGCCACCTCTTGCTACTGTGGCTGACTTTGTTCCGTGTACCCCTTGCCCCAGGTCTCTCCCCTCCACTGCACAGAGCATGGAGGGGAAGGCCACAGGGTAGGACCCTGCCCGTGTGCAGGG